GCAGGCCCAGCCAGGGAAGGCAAGGGTGAGAAGGACCAAGGTAGCAGAGAATGTTGAGCTTGGCTGGAGGTGGGGAAAGGGCCATGGAGCAATAGCCCATGTTGTAACAAGGAAAGGATACAGGTGAGCCGGTAGTATAGTTTGCCTCCAGGTGATGTCACTGGGCCATGTATTGGGGCCTATTGCTTTATTATTTAATTTTTTCCAAAGCAAAAAAAAAAAAAAAAATTAGTTGCTACAACCATTTTAAAGGAACAACTTTAACGAAGCAGAAGCTTGAGGGTTTGTAGTGTTGCCTTGAACCCCCAAGCCCTTTGTAAGATGTTTTTAAACTTTGGCACGTGTTGTGGGTGTAGTGCCCTTACCTGCTGTGTAGTGGAAGTGGCAGACTCTTGGAAAAGCCTATCTTTGTAATAAAACAAGGTGCTGAAACCTGCGTAGTGAAGTTCCTGCCTGTGTGCACACAGAGGACACGTGACATTGTGGAAGACACCCGTCGCCGCCCGCAAGGTCAGGCTGCTGTCCCTCGCCCAAGGATGGGATGCCTCTCCTCCCACGCCCCCTGAGCCTGCCGACCACTGTGCTCACCCGGCGCAGAAGCCTGGGGAGGAGGGCAGCTCTCGGGTGTGCGCAGTGAGCTTTGCATGTACAAGACCTACCGTGCTCGGGGCTGGCAGCTCAGCTGATAAACACCTTGTTTCCATACGAGATGGCTTTTTACCCCTCTGGGCTACAGAGCCCTGGTTTCCCACAGAGCACGCTGCAGCCACGCACTGCTCCTCCTGCCCGGTACCACGGCTCCCACCAGAACAGGAGCTGGCACAGGAAGGGAAGATCTGCATGAGGACACAACCACGCACCTGAACTGACCACACACTGTGCTGCACACGCAAAGACCAGTAACACCACAGCAGCACCCAGGGCTGGGCACCCTTACCTCTGCCAGGTGCCATCAGCCCACAAGATGGTGTCTTCTCCCAGCACTGGGGAGCCCAGCGCCTGCTCTGCACCACAGGTGCTGCTAACCCTCAAGGCTTCTGGCTATAAGTCTTAATAACCATGGCATTGCTAAATCCTCTCTCTTCCACCTCTCCCAGTAAAAGCTGCTCTCTCCAGGCACCACAGGGATTTGGTTTTCCCACTAGAATGTTGATTCTTAGAAAAGCTAAATCCAGCCATTAAATTATTTGGCCTCTCAAAGCAAAAGAGCCTCATGTTTCACACTGGGTGCCTGGTGAGAAAGAACACAGCTCCTGCCCAGTTCTGTTACAGGACATTTCCATGCTAGCGAGCAGTGCTTTGTGAGGTTAACCATCACCAAAGAGCTCAGTTATTACTGCGGCATCCCCCACCCCGTCCCTGGGGGGACACGAGTTTTGGCTCCATTAAAGATGGATCAACATGGCCAAGGCTGAAGTTTAAAGAGAAGTCAGTTTGCTCAGCTCTTGCTTAAGCCCCAAAGCAAGGCCAGGCGCCTTGGAGGGCATTGGCAAGGCCAGCTGAAGATTAGCAAAATCCTCTTTAGGAAGAGAGTTTTACTTCCACTTATTTTTTCCTGCCCAGGAGGACTGTAACCCTTTGCATTATCAGGCTGACCTTCAGAAGGGCTCTGTTCTGTGCAGAGCAAGAGAAATTCAGGCATTTGAAGCTATTAAATGAAAGTGTTCATATGTTGACCCACAGGAGCTAGTAACACAGGTTTAGAGGTAAGCACTGTGCCAGATAGATAACAAGAGCACGAGCAATGCTGCAGTCTACAGCAAACACCCCAAACTCCTTTTTTGAGCTGTAAAACACTTCTATCTTCCTCTTACCATGTTAGAGTACAGGCAGCTCCCCTGGTGCTGGGGACACTTGCCCATGGCATGCACCCATACCTGCTGCCCCGGCACTCCTGTAATCCCAGCTCAGCCAGGCATTAGCACAAGGGCAGCCAGGAGGGCAGAGGGCCGGACACCTACCCCGCACCGAGGCTGCGGGCACCACAGCCCCGCACTGGCAGGACTGGCCAAGCCAGAGCTTCGCAGTGCCCAGGGGTCCCATGGGTCCCAGGGCCCCCTGCCTGGGCTGTCACCCAACACTGGGGCTCACTGCCAGCCTGGACGCTCACAGCCCCCAAAGCTTGGCACTGCTGGCTGGCCAGGTGTGCCACTGCGGGCAGCAGCTGGGGACACGTGACGTGGGGACAGACGGGGCACTTCACTTCTCCGTGAGAGCAGGCATGGCAGGCAGCTGCCTGCAGCACCAGCTCACCACCAGGCCATGCAGGACTGGGAGATGGGAGTGCAGGGGCAGAGCCCCACAAGCAGTCACGCCATTTCATGAGTGGAGTGAAGCAGCTTTATTAGCAGGAGGTGAACACAGAATTAAAACCTGTCCTGGGGACTAAAACCGATCCGGAACTTCTCCGTGAGAGCAGGCATGGCAGGCAGCTGCCTGCAGCACCAGCTCACCACCAGGCCATGCAGGACTGGGAGATGGGAGTGCAGGGGCAGAGCCCCACAAGCAGTCACGCCATTTCATGAGTGGAGTGAAGCAGCTTTATTAGCAGGAGGTGAACACAGAATTAAAACCTGTCCTGGGGACTAAAACCGATCCGGATCCCAAGGGCCCAGGCCCAGCTGGAAGCAGGGCTGGGCTCCCACAGGGAGCAGGGCTGCCTGGGAGCCCCTATGGGGCCTTCCTGCCTGCTGGGGTGGGGGCTGCCTTCCGCAGCCTGGCCTCCCCCTGGCCAGCTCCCTGGGCAGCCCGGGGCTTCCTCGCCTTGCCTTGACCCCCCTTCGCCTTGGAGGCATCTTGCTGTGCCCCCTTGGGTGCCTTCCCCTTGCTCTTTCCCACTGGGGCCTTTCGGGGCCCCTTTGCCTCAGCACCCGCGGGGCTGTCGCCATCACCCCCTCCTGCATCCTCAGCAGCCGGAGCCACGGGGGGCCCTGAACGCCCTTTGCCGGGGGCCCGGGGGCGG